TGAAGCTAAAAGAAATCTTTCTATACTATAAATAATAAAAATAATTTGAATAGCCATGAGAGAGGAAAGACAAAATTGTATTTCTGTACTCTCTACTGAAATAAAGTAACAAAATTGTTGTCATAGGAAAAGGAGGTGATCATTGTTGGAAAAAAGTCTTGAGTGTCAGGCAGTTAATAAATAATAATCCTAGTCATATTTTTCTTGGATATTATAATGTTTATGGTATAACTTAAATTTTTTAATTGTGATTTTTTTTATTCCATCTTGTTCATATTTAATTTTGCACTTAATTTATTTAACTGTACTTTCCAAATTATTCAAGCTTCGGGTTCTAGAAAACCTAGATTTTTTTATATTACTAGAAAATCTAGACCTTCTTTTGGATTATTTTCTTAAACAAGAGATGGGTTGTATTGATTGTCTTCTTGTAATAATACTGGTGATATTTCCAGGAAAATTATTCAGAATTAAGAACTTGTGACTTGCACTAGCTTTTTCCTTTGGAACTTTAATGTTTAGAAAACACCCTTCTGATTTTAGCCTCATTAACAACATGTTCTGATCAACTGCTACAACTCCATTTAGATTAATGTAGTTAGTAAATACTATAACAGATTGATTAGTATGGCTTTTTAGATACACAGTAAAAGCACAAAATATCTAATTAGAGCTATCTACCCTGTGTATATTCATTTTGCTTGTGATTTAAAATCATTGATAAACCATGGCTTAACTTTAAAAATTTACTTTGTAGTAATTTAAAAATAAATGTATAAAGAATTAATAAGCAAAATCTTTCCACTTGGAGACAACCACTGTCACTTAAAGGCTGGCATAGTTTAAAAATATATGGTGTAGGTTTCTCTTGGTTCTAAACTTGTTAGTAACTTGATATATGACTTTGGGTACACTATTTCCTCACTAAGACTCTTTGTCCTCATCGGGAAAGAGAGGTAATTTATTGTAGAGTTGTCGCAATGATGTGTTTGGAATTTCAAACTAGTTAGTTACAAAGTAGTTTGTAAACTAGGAATTGCCATATAAATAAAATTTTTATGATTGCCTTTAAAAAAGTATAAAGAAATAAATGTTTTTCCTTTTCCCCTTCTTTTTCTTTTTTCCTATTATATCTACAGAGATGACAACAAAAATACCAGCTTGAAAACTTGGGATAAAAATGACTTTAGACCTCAATGTAAAACAACAAAACTAGTGACAAATGATGGAAAAAATTCTTTTCCCGTGAATTTGGGAACTCAGATACCACAGAAACAATTAAGGGTATCTGAAACTCCTGATTTATCTTATCACAGAGAAACTGAGGTTCTCAGACAAATGTGTTCATCAAAAGTTTCTGGCTCCACAGTAAAAGGCCCAGATAAAAACAGTGCATTACAGACATTTAAGCCCAATTTTCAACAAAATCAATTTAAGAAAAAAATGTTGGATGATATTCCAGAAGAAAACACTCTGAAGGTAAACATTTAAATATTAAAGAATGAATGAATGACTTATTTTTATTTTTAAAATGTGAAGTAAATAGCTATTTAGAAAGTTATAGATGTAAGAATATTTGAAATCAATCCCCTAGTATATGTTACTTGATTAGCATAAATATCCAGTTCCATTGGAGGGATGAATATTAGTTTGTAAAATATTTTCTTAGCAGGTAACTGCTCTTTTTCATAAATGCTTCAGAGTTTCCTAGTGGATTCGGTGTTTCACTGCTTACTGATTATTAGCATAACAATTTATTCTTTGCTTTCAGAAATTATCCAACTCTGTTTATCATTCTTACATATTTTTCCCCAACAGAGAACAAAAACATTTTTCTGTAAAGGGCCAAATAATAAGTATTTTTGGCTTCATGGGCCACACTATCTCTGTTGCAATTACACAACGATGTTACTCAACTCTGGCACAGCCATAGACAGTATTTAAATGAATGGGCATGTCAGTGTTCCAGTATAAGTGTAAAGAAACATCAAAGATTAGATTTGGAGTACAGGCCATTGTTTGCTGATTTTTGTTTTATCATCTGGACCTATTCTACTTTACCAACCTCAGTATTTCACATTCCGCTAATTCTTCAATGTGCTAGTCATTCCAAACTCTGCACAGTTCTCCAAACAAACATGGCATGCATTCTAATTAATCCCTGCTTTGGTTTGTATTCTCTATATCTGTACCTCAGCTTCATATTCTCTTTATGCACAGTATTCTACTTATTTTTATAAATGTCTTCTATATAGTATGTGTGCTGGTTATTCTTCCCTTTCTCACTCCCCTGGCCTATTGGATTCTTTATCTCTTCTTCTCTGTACCTTAGAAGGCTGAATCATCTACATAGTACCTCATCCTGGGATTCTTTTACCTGCTGGCTTTTGCTAAAGATCGCCCAATGGGAGTCATTGGGAGGACATCAAAGGGTGGGTGGAGAGGTTGTGTTTTCCCATTTTTCTCCCTACTTAAATGTTGTACTGATGGAAGTGGCTGTGTCCCTACATGACATAGTCTTTTCAGGAGTCCTGCTTTCATGGATTGGATAATTTTATTTCTTTCCTTGTTCTTTCAGCCTGGGAGTGGTAATAATTTCATACTATTGTTAGTCTTTGGGTGCTTAAGTTTGTTTTAGTCCATATATCTGTAAAAACAGTCTTTTCAGTAAGCCATCAGGGTAAATTCTGCTTTTCGAAAGAAAAGAGACTCTCTGGAAACCAGTATAGCATGAGACCAATATAGCATGTTTTATAGTGATTCTCAACTTTATGATTCCTTGTACATAAATGATATGACATAGTCAACTTAGTAACAGTGACATTAATCTTCAACTTTAGTTTTATTAGAATTGTTGTTAGGAGGAAGAAAAGGGGCAAAGTAATTGTATTTTTTTAAAAAGAGTCCCATCAGGTGTTCTTACAAAACTCATCCTGACAAAATTGTCCCCACCCCACCTGAGCTGGGAAGATGAGGTCCAGGAAGAAGCAGTCCATGGAGAGAGGTGCTGTCTGCTAGGAGATAGAACTCAGGAGGAGATGCAGCCATATGCAAGCTTTTGGAAGATAGTTTATTGGAATTAGGGTAATTCATGGCTTTGTATTTGCCAAATTCACATGAAAAGAACATTATGGAGAGAATTGTGGCCAGTGTTTTATCTCAGAAATAACTAGTGCCTTTTTTCATAATTTCTCTAGTCCCTGAGAAACTATGAGGGCTCAGCTGGTCTGTTAATCTATAGGACATTTTTATGACAATTAAAATATCACTCTAAGGAGGGTCTTTTGTTCCACTGTCAGGTTTTATTAGGCTAGTATAAGCTAATAAAACATAATAAAATTATACAGCTCATATTACATTTAAAACATAGATTTGTAACACTTAAGGCTATACCCAGAAAATATACTGGACTTTGGTGTCAACCAAACAAAATTGATCACACAGATCCTTAATATGTGATTATAATTTTTCCCTAAGTGTAAGTTTCTTTGTTTGAACCACTTAACAAGTTTCATCCTCCACAACATGATGAAAATTTTAACAGCAACTAAAATTCATTTTATATTCTTTTGTCAGACACTTGCAATGGTTGAATATAAATAAATCTAACTCCTTTCAAAAAAAATTGTCCCCACCCTTAAAAATTAGTATCTTACATTGTATTCTTAGTTTGATCTGTAAAAATGCTAAACACATTTCTACCTTAGGGTCTTTACACTTCCTATTCTCTCTGCCCCACTTCACCATCCACTAAAAATAATAATCTCTCTCTTTGTCCTTTTATCTTGTTTTTTAAAAATACATAGAATATATCAATTCTTAATGTTATGCTATGTATTTATCTATTGTATGAATCCCCTTTTAGATTATAAAATATGTGAAGGCTGATATCTTGTTAGTTTTGTTCATTATTGCTTCCTTAAAAGCTATGTTTGGCACACGGTAGGTGCCCAGTTAACACTTTTGAAGTGAATCAGTGAATGTGTCTGATTCACCTCCTTGTGTGGAGCACATTGGAGAAAGTGTTTTACTCACAGGTCTATCACAGGATGTGGCACATGATGCTTATTGAATGAATTAACAAATGAATGAGTGGATGAGTGCTGTATAAATGATTCTCTTCTTGATTGCCTCTGAGTGCATCCTGGTTTATCCTTCTATAATATACTAATGATGGTTTTAATTTGGGGAAGTAATTGTATTGAAACTTTTAGTAGTTCTTTTTACATATTTACTTATAAAGACCTAGAATCTTTACATAGAAGGTAAAAGTATATGAAGAGAAATAGAAAGATTTTTCTAATGTTATGTTTTTATTTTTCAAAAGGAAGCCTCATGTCGGTTACAGTTTAAGGAAAAAAATAATTCTCTAAGAATTATTTCTGCAGTTATTGAAAGCATGAAGTATTGGTGTGAACATGCACAGAAAACTGTACTTCTTTTTGAGGTGTTGGGTAAGTATAATACTTTAAAAATATGTCAGGTCATACTATCTGGACAAGTTTTTAATATTGATAGGAATATCTAAGGGATCTTGAAGAAAAAAATTTTGTGAAAGGAAAATATGTTTTATTAGAATTTTTTAAGTTCTTGGTTGGGTGTGTCATTGATTTGTATGAGTTAAGTATTTGTGGCAGTATTCTTCTGATTTATAGTGTTATAATTGAAAAGACATTTGCATGTAATCTATCCTCTTGAGTTATATGAGGAAATTGGGCAAATAATTAAAATAGACTTGATTAAAATTATGAAGCTAGTTAGCAGCAGAAATTAGTCTAGAATCAAAAACAGCATACTAATGGAGCACAGCCACATCAGTGTTTATAGCAGCACAATTCACAATAGCTAAACTGTGGAACCAACCTAGATGCCCCTCAGTAGATGAGTATATAAAGAAAATGTGATATATATATATATATATATATATACACACACACACACACACACACACACACACACAATGGAACATTACTGAGCAACAAAAGAGAATAAAATCATGGCATTTGCAGATAAATGGATGGCCTTGGAGAATATAATGCTAAGTGAAGTTAGCCAATCCAAAAAACCAAATGCTGAATGTTTTCTCTGATATAAGGAGGCTGATTCATAGTGGGGTTGGGGGGGGCATGGGAGGATTTGACGAACCCTAGATAGGGCAAAGAGGTGGAAGGATAAGGGAGGGGTCATGGGAGTAAAAAAGATGGTGGAATGAGATGGATATCATTATCCTAAATACATGTATGAAGACACGAATGGTGTGAATATACTTTATTTACAACTAGAGATATGAGAAATTGTGTTGTATATGTGTAATATGAATTGTAATGCTTCTGCTATCATATATAACAAATTAGAATAAAAACAAATTTTAAAAAAAGAATCTAGAATCTGAATCTCCTTATTCTAAATCTAGCATTTGAAGCAAAGCTCATCCAAATATAAATTAAATCATATTTGAAATACTCTGAAAGAACATTAAGAATACTGATAAGAATAACCACCCTATAACTAATCTGTTTTCTAAATTAGCATTTAAAAGTAGGTGAGTTTTGTAGAATGTTTCTGGAACTTGATCTTACCTAGAATGAAGAGATAAACAAGTAAGATTTGAGATTCAAAACATATTTATTTCCATTATTTAAATTTAATAATAGTATTTATTTAAATTACAAAATAATCCAAACATATGGAAATGTACAGAGAATATAATAAATATCCATATGACCATGTCATAGGTATATTTGATGCCCCTGTATATTTGCCTCTCTAGAGAGAGCTACTGTAGTATCTTTTATGCCCATGATTTTTATCATTTTATAGTATACATTTGATTCCATAAGCTTATATTTTTGGTTTATGTATTATAGAAATACAAAGCTTGCAATTTCAGCCAGTATACTTTTTGAGATTTAGATACGGTGTTTCTTCATTGTTTTAACTTCTATCTTGGGTAGTTCTTTCCCTCTGAAATAAAAGTCTTATTTCTGCTGCTCCCTGAAGTATATTCAAAGAATTGCAGTTTTCATAATAGTAATGACAATTGCAGATTTAATAATATCTATGGTAGACAGACTGTTGGCACCTTAGATGTCTGTGTCCGAATTCCCAAAGCCTACGAATATTACCTTATGTGGTTGAGGGGCTTGGATGATATGGTTAAATTAAGGATCTCAAAGTGGGAAGATTATCTTGGAAATCTTGGTGGGCCTGACATAGTTACAAGGGAAGCAGGAAGGTCAGAGTCAGGGAAAGATTGGAATATATTATCCTGCCAGCTTTGAGTTAGAGGAAAGAGTCATAATTCAAAGAATGCAGTGTCTAGAAGCTTTCAAAAGGAACACGACCTTGCCTGACCTGTTTTAGATTTACACCACATTGTCACATTTTTAGATGAATTTCTTTTGGTTGCTCTTTCCCAGAAATAAACTAATGGACTTTTGGGTATCATTATTTCTGAATGGTAACATACCCATCACTGAAACCCTGATCTGTGTATCTGGGGAATGGAATATGCTTTGGCTTAAGTCACAGGTCACCCCTGGATCTGTGGGTGAGAACAAAGCTCACCCACATCTAAAAATAGAATATATGTGGTTTCCAATAGAGGTTTCCTAAAGGAAAATCTGGATCTTATTAGGATAAATGTAAGTGAACCTCAAAATATCAAATGCCTACTACTAGTACTTAGTAGATGTTTACTGAAGGAATAAACAATGTAATTTGATAAAAATTTCTGAAGATAAGCATGGATTAGTATTTGTATTTTACAGGTAAAGAAATAGCTTTGTAAAGAGGTTGAACAGTTTGCTCAAGGGGAAGGAAATGGGGAGATATAGGTAAAAGGGTACAGATTTTCAGTGTTGTAGGGTAAACTTAGAGATCTAATTAATGTATTCATGGAGGACTATAGTTAATATATTGTATGTTGAAAAATTGAAGAGAATAGATCTTAGGTGCTCTTTCCACATGAAAAAAGGTAACTATGGAAGGTGATGGATATGTTAATTTGCTTATCTGTACTAATTATTTCACATTTTCTGTATGTATCTTGTTCTATACCCTAAATAATACATTAAAAATAAATTTAAAAACCAATTTCTTGAAGTTACAAAATATTAGTAAGTTGAAGAACTGGGACTGGAATGCATGACTTCTGATTATAATTCAGTGTTTTTACATTAAGCTGTCATGCTTATTATAATAATGTACTTATTATTATAATACAGTAGACTGGTCTGGGGATTTAACCACTATAGAGAACATGGTCTATGGAAAAAGTTTCAGATGGCCCACCATTGCCAATTGTACGAACTTGATATATAATCTGTTTCTAAATAAGAAAGGGCTCAAATATTTTCTTTTCCATAAAATTGTTTCAGAAATATCATTCCTTTTAAAAATGTCTTCTTTATTACTATAAATAGAACTATAAATAGGTTGATGTGGAAGTTATTTAAGCATAACTTTTTGTTACATTTTATTTTATTTATTTGCATTTCTAATGTTGATTTTCCCCCTTATTTCAATGTGGTTTAGCTGTACTCGATTCGGCTGTTACATCTGGCCCATATTATTCAAAGAATTTTCTTATGAGAGATGGGAAAAATACTCTGCCTTGTGTATTTTATGAAATCGTGAGTATTTTTTAAAGCATTCTTTGCAAAGACCATGCCAACAAAACAAAAAATGCAGGCTGTGATTTCAGTGTATTAGAAATTCAATTTGTTTAGTACTTGAAACATTTTGTTTGCTTGTAGTTCAGATATTAAAGTTATTTACTTAATCTGGAGAGCTTCCTATGTGTCAAGCACTGCATTGGGTGCAAAAGATATAATGTGAAATACAGTGATAAATGGCTCCTTCTCTTAAGGAATTTCTGATTTCAAATAGAAAGACAAATACATAAATGTTATAATGTTATATGATAGAGGTATAAGAAGGGTGCTACAGATGTAGATAAGAAGAGTGGGCCAGATCAGAGAAGGATGTTCAAAGAGATCATCACCTGTATTATCTTAGATATTTAAGAACCAATAAGAGCCAAATAAGCCCAAGTGTTGGTAGGGCAATAGGTGGGGAAGATTCATTTTAAGGTGAGGGGGCAACATATGGCAAGACATGAAGCTAAGAGAAAGTCTGACTTGTTCAGGGAGCTGCAAGTAATATATAATTACTACAATGAGAAATTAGAAAGTGAAGGGGTTGGAGGTATGGGATTCTGAAGTTAAAGCAGGAGTGGCTTGGGATATAAGCAAAGGCTAGGTAACAAAGGCTAGAGATCCCAAAGGAGGCGGGAGACCTTTTAAGACCTACATGTTTTATGAAAGGTATTGATTTTAATTCTGAAATTGGCCTCAATTCTGAAATCACACTTGGATTCCAATGTTTAGTATACTTCAGTATTTACCAGCCTTATGACATAAGTAAGCTGCTCAAACTATTTGAGCTTCAGGTTTTTAAATATCTGCAAATGGGGAGATGAATTCCTGCTTTGAAAAGTTGTTGTGAGATGAAATGATAAAACAAATGCACAGTGCCTGACACACAGTAGGTGATCAAGAAATAGTAATTGTCATGTTAATTATTTTAATATCTTGGATGTTTATTTTTTCCAGTGTAAGTATTTTTTAAAACCCTGTTATTGAACTATAACATATACAGAAAAGTACACTATTTCTAACTGTATAGTGATATGAAGCATCAAAGTGAACACTTCCCAAGTTAAGAAGTAAAATGTTGTTGTCATCTCTGAAGCCCTATTGAACTTCTTCCCATAAATTGTATCATATGGTATATCTTTTGAAAAATGTGTGGTTGTTATCACTCAACACAATGTTTGTAGGATTCATCTATGTTATTGCATGCAGCTATAGTTCATTCATTTATGTTGCTACGTATTTGGTTATGCAAATATTCCACAATTTGGAATTTTATTTTATTGTTGATGGACATTTGGGCTAGTTAAAGAGTTTTTTTGCCATTATGAATAATAAGCATAATGAATATGAACTTTTTTGTATATATTTCTTGTGCATATGCATGCATTTCTGTTTGGTGTATCTGTAGAAGTAAAATTGCCATGTTATAGAGCTAATATAGTGGTTATTGCCAAAGGATTTTCCAAGGATTGTATCAGTTCATACACCAACAAGGAGTGTAGGAGAGTCACGGTTTCTCTGCATTCTGTTTTTTTGTGTGTGGTGCTGGGGATTGAACAAGGCAACACTATACCAACTGAGCTATATCCCCAACCCCTCTCTGCATTCTTATCAACAATTAGTATTGTCTTTTTTATTGTAGCCTTTCTGAGCAAGTTAAATGTTCCTTCATTTCTCTGCCTGGTGACCAGTGTTGCTGAGCACGATTTCATATGTTTATTGGCCATTTAGATAACTGCTTTTGTAAAGTCTGTTAGGTCTCTTGCTTTTTTCCAATTGAATTACTGGTCTTTTTCTTATTGATTTATGGGATTTTTTTGAAAAGCTGTTCTAGGCACAAACTTTTTGTTAATATTTACTTCAAATATTTTTCTCATATTCCATGGTTTGCTTTTTCACTTTTAATGGTGGCTTTAATGGAGGGAAATTCTTCATTTTATTGTAGTCCATTTTAAAAATCATCAAGTCTTTTCCTCTGTTTTAAGTCATAACCTTTTAGTGAAAGAAGTTTCTGAATGCTTTAGTTTTATTCATGATTGAGGGGGTTTAGAGATTTCTGGTCTTTTATTCTGATTAATTAGTTCCCTTAAATGTGTAGCTTTGTTTTGGTTCCAACCCTAAACCTGGGGTGGGGTGGGAGTGATTGCTAGAATCTCTTTTCTTGGGATCATCAGACTCCATTTTTTGTTTTCCCAGCTCTAAGACTGTTAAAAATCTCTGCTCACTTCTTAGATTCTAAATTACCTTTCTGTAATGGCAGATATCTTAAGGGAGAATGCATCCCCAAATCAGGCTTCATCTTGAACTTTCATGCTGTCCAGATGAGGTTTATATAACTCCTCATTGCTTTGATATGTCTGATGCCTATGCAGGGGATTTTAAACATTTTTTTTAGTACAGCTATTCTACTTCTCAGCTGGTAGTTAGTTGATATGAACCACCTTTTCTGCCATGTACTGAAAGTGGAACTCTTGACAGTCTGACAGAAGAATGGATAATTTATGTGCCATTACATTAAGAATTATTAAGTTATTTAATAAGCAGCATCTTGCTCTATCTTGTAAGAAGCCCTATCCAAGTTCATGTCTTTACTCTGTGACAGGGCATCCATATATGACTAATTGTCATAGACTTTGTCAGCAGTGGGGCCCTGACTCAGGTGAGGAAAGTATAATATTTGGGGTGATTATTTCTAGTTGTTACATTATTTGTTAAAAAATTAAAATTTAGATGAAGTAACAAGTTTTAAAAAATATTTATGTTTTGAAAAACAGGATCGTGAACTTCCAAGACTGATTAGAGGCCGAGTTCATAGGTGTATTGGAAACTATGACCAGAAAAAGAACATTTTCAAATGTGTTTCTGTCAGACCAGCATCAGTTTCTGAACAAAAAACTTTCCAGACATTTGTTAAAATTGTAGATGCTGAGATGAGTTATTATACTAAAGTAATGAATGAAATTTAGATAGTATAAATTAAAGCATTTTCTGATATTGTTTAATTTATTGTTTGTATAGTTATGGAGCTACTGTGTTTCTGTGTTTTACTTCTTGAATTAAAATGTTTAAATCCTTTTAAAAATGTGGAAATAGTTTTTGAAAGATGGGATGTATTTACTAAAATTCAGTGACAATTTTAGATAAAAATGCCCACTATAATAAAAATAGATGGATACTTTCTCAACATGGGATAATAATATATCTGAGGCAGCCCAAAAGCCAGTGTCTCACTGAAGGGGGATCATTGAAGGCATTGTGACTATCAGTACCATTCTTCTTAAGTACTATTATTAAACATTGTTCTGGAACTGCTGGTTTATGTGGTTCATTTAATTACTTCATTTTTTAAATTTCAAGAACAGCATTTTATTCTTCTGGTGTATAAAATACGAGGAAAAAGTTAAATCAAGGACTTAAAAGATGCTTGCTTAATATAGTTTTAAACTATAAAATTATTTCTCTGGAGGCAACTAACCTTACATAGCTTCAATCACAGTTCAACAGAGATACCAAGAAACACATCCTGTGTTCCTTTTCCTTGGTATCAATTTATTTCATTTCATTCTATTCCTTCTATTCTGTATCTTATATCACTTTCCGTTCTTCTTTCCCAACCCTCTTTCCGCCTTTTGGACAGGCTATTGCAGTCAGATTCCAGTTGGTGTCTTTCCTTGGTGTGTAGGATAGTAGATAGATGAAGAGATATGGACTAGTGATATCTCCTAAAACGTTTTTTTATATTAGTTGTTCAAAACATTACATAGCTCTTGACATATCATATTTCATACATTTGATTCAAGTGGGTTATGAACTCCCATTTTTCCCCTGTATACAGATTGCAGAATCACATCGGTTACACATCCACGTTTTTACATACTGCCATACTATTGTCTGTTGTATTCTGCTGTCTTTCCTATCCTCTACTATCCCCCCTCCCCTCCCCTCCCATCTTCTCTCTCTACCCCATCTACTGTACTTCATTTCTCTCCTTTGTTTTTTTTCCCCTTTTCCCTTTACCTCCTCTTATATGTAATTTTGTATAACGATGAGGGTCTCCTTCCATTTACATGCAATTTCCTTTCTTTCTCCCTTTCCCTCACACCTCTCATCCCTGTTTAATGTTAATCTTCTTCTCATGCTCTTCCTCCCTGCTCTGTTCTTAGTTGCTCTCCTTATATCAAAGATGACATTTGGCATTTATTTTTTAGGGATTGGTTAGCTTCACTTAGCATAATCTGCTCTAGTGCCATCCATTTCCCTGCAAATGCTATGATTTTGTCATTTTTTAGTGCTGAGTAGTACTCCATTGTGTATAAATGCCACCTTTTTTTATCCATTCATCTATTGAAGGGCATCTAGGTTGGTTCCACAGTCTAGCTATTGTGAATTGTGCTGCTATGAACATCGATGTAGCAGTATCCCTATAGTCCGCTCTTTTAAGGTCTTTAGGGAATAGTCCAAGAAGGGGAATAGCTGGGTCAAATGGTGGTTCTATTCCCAGCTTTCCCAGGAATCTCCATACTGCTTTCCACATTGGCCGCACCAATTTGCAGTCCCATCAGCAATGAACAAGTGTACCCTTTTCCCCACATCCTCGCCAGCACTTATTGTTGTTTGACTTCATAATGGCTGCCAATCTTACTGGGGTGAGATGGTATCTTAGGGAGGTTTTGATTTGCATTTCTCTGATTGCTAGAGATGGTGAGCATTTTTTCATGTACTTGTTGATTGATTGTATGTCCTCCTCTGAGAAGTGTCTGTTCAGGTCCTTGGCCCATTTGTTGATTGGGTTATTTGTTATCTTATTGTTTAATTTTTTGAGTTCTTTGTATACTCTGGATATTAGGGCTCTATCTGAAGTGTGAGGAGTAAAAATTTGTTCCCAGAATGTAGGCTCCTTATTTACCTCTCTTATTGTTTCTCTTGCTGAGAAAAAACTTTTTAGTTTACGTTGTTTGTGTTGATTCTTGATATTAACTCTTGTGCTATGGGTGTCCTATTAAGGAATTTGGAGCCCGACCCCACAATATGTAGATTGGAGCCAACTTTTTCTTCTATCAGACGCAGAGTCTCTGATTTGATATCAAGCTCCTTGATCCATTTTGAGTTAACTTTTGTGCATGGCGAGAGGAGGGGATTCAGTTTCATTTTGTTGCATATGGATTTCCAGTTTTCCCAACACCATTTGTTGAAGATGGTATCCTTCCTCCATTGCATGCTTTTAGCCCCTTTATCAAATATAAGATAGTTTTAACTTTGTGGATTAGTCTCTGTGTCCTCTATTCTGTACCATTGGTCCACCCACCTGTTTTGGTACCAGTACCATGCTGTTTTTGTTACTATTGCTCTGTAGTATAGTTTGAAATCTGGTATCACTATACCGCCTGATTCACACTTCCTGCTTAGAATTGCTTTTGCTATTCTGGGTCTTTTATTTTTCCATATGAATTTCATGATTGCTTTATCTATTTCTATAAGAAATGCCGTTGGGATTTTGATTGGCATTGCATTAAACCTATAGAGAACTTTTGGTAATATCGCCATTTTGATGATGTTAGTTCTGCCTATCCATGAACAGGGTATATTTTTCCATCTTCTAAGATCTTCTTCTATTTCTCTCTTTAGGGTTTTGTAGTTTTCATTGTATAAATCTTTCGCCTCTTTTGTTAGGTTGATTCCCAAGTATTTTTTTTTTTTGAGGATATTGTGAATGGAGTGGTTGTCCTTATTTCCATTTCAGAAGATTTGCCGCTGATATACAGGAATGCCTTTGATTTATGTGTGTTGATTTTATATCCTGCCACTTTGCTGAATTCATTTATTAGCTCTAGTAATTTCTTTGTAGACCCTTTTGGGTCTGTTAGGTATAGAATCATGTCATCCCCAAATAGTGATAATTAAAGTTCGTCTTTTCTTATCTTTATGCCTTTAATTTCTTTTGTCTGTCTAATTGCTCTGGCTAGTATTTCGAGAACTAAATTGAATAGAAGTGGTGAGAGAGGGCATCCCTGTCTTGTTGCAGATTTTAGAGGGAATGCCTTCAGTTTTTCTCCATTTAGAATGATGCTAGCCTGAGGCTTAGCATATGTAGCTTTTACAATGTTGAGGTAAGTTCCTGTTATCCCTAGTTTTTCTAGTGTTTTGAACATAAAGGGATGCTGTACTTTGTCAAATGCTTTCTCTGCGTCTATTGAGATGATCATGTGGTTCTTATCGTTAAGTCTATTGATGTGTTGAATAACATTTATTGATTTCCGTATGTTGAACCAGCCTTGCATCCCATTGATGAATCCTATTTGATCATGGTGTACATTTTTTTTTTGATATGCTTTTGTATTTGATTCGCCAGAATTTTATTGAGGATTTTTGCATCTAAGTTCATTAGAGATATTGGTCTATAGTTTTCTTTCTTTGAAGTGTCTTTGTCTGGTTTCGGGATCAGGGTCATGTTGGCCTCATAGAATGAATTTGGAAGAGCACCTTCTTTTTTATTTCTTGAAATAACTTGAAAAGTATTGGTATTAATTCTTCTTTGAAGGTTTTGTAAAACTCCACTGTATACCCATCCGGTCCAGGGCTTTTCTTGGTTCGTAGTCTTTTGATGGCTTCTTCTATTTCCTCCATTGTTATTGGTCTGTTTAAATTGTGTGTATCTTTCTGACTCAATCTGGGCAAATCATATGAGTTATGAAATTTATCCATATCTTCACTATCTTCTATTTTATTGGAATATAGGATTTCAAAATAATTTCTAATTATCTTCTGTATTTCTGTAGTGTCCGTTGTGATATTGCCTTTTTCATCCCGTATGTTAGTAATTTGAGTTCTCTCTCTTCTTCTCTTCATTAGCATGGCTAAGGGTCTGTCAATCTTATCTATTTTTTCAAAGAACCAACTTTTAGTTTTATCAATTTTTCAATTGTTTTTTTGTTTCAATTTCATTGATTTCTGCTCTGATTTTAATTATTTCTTGCCTTCTACTACATTTGCTGTTGTTTTGCTCTTCCTTTTCTAGGGTTTTGAGATGAAGTGTGAGCTAATTTATTTGTTGTTTTTTTCTTTTTTTGAGGAATGAACTCCAGGCAATGAATTTCCCTCTTAAAACTGCTTTCATTGTGTCCCATAGATTCCGATATATTGTGTCTGTATTTTCATTTATCTCTAAGAATTTTTTTTATTTCCTCCTTTATGTCTTCTGTAGCCAATTGATCATTCATTAACATATTGTTCATTTTCCAGGTGATGCAGGATTTTTCCTTTCTTCTTTTATCATTGATTTCCAGTTTCATTCCATTATGATCAGATAAGATGCATGGTATTATCTCCACACCTTTATATTTACTAAGGGTTGCCCTATGGCATAATATATAGTCTATATTTGAGAAGGATCCATGTGCTGCTGAGAAGAACGTGTATCCACTTGATGATGGTTGATATATTCTATATATGTCGGTTAAGTCTAGGTTATTGATTGTGTTATTGAGTTCTATAGTTTCTTTATTCAACTTTTGTCTGGAGGATCTGTCCAATGGAGAGAGCGGTGCGTTGAAGTCACCCATAATTATTGTGTTGTGGTCTATTTGACTCTTGAACTTGAGGAGAGTTTGTTTTATGAACGTTGTAGCACCATTATTTGGTGCATACATATTGATAATTGTTATGTCTTGTTGGTGAATGGTTCCTTTTAACAGTATATAGTGTCCTTCTTTATCCCTTTTGATTAACTTAGGTTTGAAGTTGATTTTATTCGATATGAGTATGGCCACTCCCGCTTGCTTCCGAGGACCATATGAGTGGTATTATTTTTCCCAACCTTTCACCTTCAGCCTGTGTATGTCTTTTCCTATCATATGAGTCTCCTGAAGGCAACATATTGTTGGATCTGGTTTTTTAATCCAGGTTACTACCCTATGTCTCTTGATTGGTGAGTTTAAACCATTAACATTTAGGGTTACTATTGATATAT